GACCTCGTTGGGTCGAATTCCTGGACGAGAAGCCATTGAAAAACCTGAGAACCTGATCGTATTCCTTCACACGTAAAAGCTCTTCCATTGATAGAGACCGTTTTGCCTTTTTTTTCCTTTTTCTTCCCTGCTGGCTCTGTGGCTTGAACTCAGAACCTTAAGCTTTCCCTAGACTGTTTGGTTCATTGCTGGCTCTCTACCACTTGAGCCACAACTCTACTGCCCACTTTTTGCTATTCTGTTGGAGATGAGTCTTTAGGATTTATCTGACTGGGCTGGCTTTGAACCAAGGATCATCAGATCTCAGCCTCCCTGCGACCAAGAAACACCAGTGCCTAGCTTAACATTTTTTTTTTTTAACCTTCTGTAAAACATCTTCATAAATTGACTTTAAAGAAACTTGATGTTAAAGTTAAGGCATCATGTTTATCTTTTAAAATCAGTGTCTTCAGTGAATCTTCAGTAAACATTCACCTCCATATTATGAATAATTTCCTCCCAGCATTTTTCCCTTTCTTAATACCTTTTGATCTTATATTTAATACCTTTAAATCTACATTTAATTGATATGCCATGTTGAAAAATCATCCAGGAATCTTTGCAAAGTAATGGAAGAGGTTTATACCTGAATTATGCAATTAAATCATATTATAAATACACTAAGTACTTATATGCTTGAACTCCATGAACACATAACTATTCAGAACTGGGAAAGTAGACATGCCAGGAATTGGTTTCTAATCTGTCCGTGGCAATGGAAATGAATGCTAAGGACCATCCATTGCGTGTGACTAGGAGACCAAGTGCCACAGCTCAGAGCTGAGTCTGTCTGCACTCTAGATGTGCTTTATTTGGTTCTTCTGCTCAGAGTCTAGAAGTTGCTCTTCTGCAGGTGTGCAAGGTCCTGCCCTGAGCTCCCTGCAGGCCCAGACTTCAGGGCCGAGGGATTCTGGAGGCCGCTTCCTGAGTGATCCTCCCAGAGGTGGCCAGCATGCCTGGGAGCTTCACACCGCAGAGCTTTGCTCAAACAGCTTTGCTCAAACATGCACTCGGCCTTCTGACCCCTTGTTCTCAGACTTCTGGAACTGTCCTCAGAAAGCTCAGAGGACGGATGAGGTCAGTCTCACCAGGGGTCCTCTGATGATCTTAAAGTCGATGGGTTAGGAAGACATTGTGTGTAAGGCCTCCAGCCTTACACTAGTTGGTCACTGGGATGGTGTCATTTCATATCCTCCTCCACCTGGGGCTGTGTGGGACATGGACAACACGAGGAGAAACGCAACCGCAAAGCAGGAGGAGAAAGCCTCACATCCAGACCATTCCAGGTGAGGAAAGGTGCTCCCTGGATCTGACAATGGGGAGAAATCATGAAGATAGCGAATGCTAGGCTTGTGTAACAAATCAAATCAAATTAATGGTGTCAATTAAAACTACGAAAATAGGGGGATATATGAAAACCAAGTAAACATACTCTTGATTTACACTTAGCATTGTAGACCTGCACATATCTGTTAGAAAATAATAAGGTGAGCTGGGCACTGGTGCTCACACCTGCAATCCTAGCTACTCAGGAGGCTGAGGTCTGAGGGTTCAAAGACACACCAGGAAGACAAATCCATGAGACCCATCTCCAACTGACAGTGAAAAGCTGGGAGTGGAGCTGTGGCTGTCCATCCCCTTCCTGCTCCACCAGCATGTGAGTGAGGTAAGCATCAGGAGCGCAAGAAAGTCTGTTCTGTTCGATGCACCAGCCTCAGAGTGAGGATCCAGCTGCACACACCCGTGGGTGAATGAGTACATCCTGACAAGCTACAGGGAATCTGCATTAGAGTGAAGACTATTTGTATCTTCCTGTAGGTCCCATGCCCCAAGAGTCCTCTCTCCAGGAATGCTAACGTTCCTTTCCATTAGTGAATATTTGACAGAATTCTTAATTTCATCATATAAGTACACTTCATAGGATAATGAAGCTATTCAATGTATCACAGTTTGTGTCTACCTTCTGACTCTTCTAAACAAATATACTCTGCATTTTATATTTTCAAAAGTTCTTTCAAACAAAAAAAAATCTTTCCTATTTTAAATTTGATTTTTATAGAGGTTCACAGAGGAGGCCATGTTTAAAAGAATTAGAAGGAAAGATGGTAAGAGGATAGATTTTAGAACAAGAAACAGTCTAGTCCTGCTTCCTCCCCTCTTCCTCCTCTCCCTCTCTTCTGCTTCCTCTCTTCTTTTCCCTCACTTGCTCTTTCTTTCATCCTCTTCCTCCCCTCCTCTTCCTCATCTAGTTCCCTTGTCTGGGGTCTGACAGGTAGACTTAGGTGAACATCCGTTGTAAATTCCTAGCTATGAAGCATGATGCCTCAGTTTGCTCCTTATGTCCTTTCTATTCCTTATGTATTTCATGTAATCAAGTAACTGTATTTTCAAATATTCTTTTTTGTCCTCTTGTAAAAGCACATCATAAACCTTCATATTGTTGATACAATCATTTCTTGCTAATTGTCGTATGACACTGAGGAAAAACACCATTTAAATAGAATTCAAAGACTTTCATTCAATTCATTTAATTTCATTAAATTGCATATTAATATGAATACACTCTGCATTAAGTTACACATCAAAATAAATACAGTATGCATTAAATGGCATATGTGAACATGAAGAGCCTCTTCATGAAGTAACACGAATGCCAATCACACTTCATACGCTTTCCATAAAGCATTTACAGCAAAGCCCAACAAACTTCCTATAAAGGGTACAGTAGTAAAAGCTGTATGTTTGTGGCCCATACCATGTCTGTATGTCTGTCACAACTACTTTGCTCTGGCCTTGAAGCTCCAACGTAGACATAAACCGTACACAGCTGGTGGTAGCTGTGGTCCAATAACATTTATTGACACAAACAGGTCACAGTCTGGCTTCGGCCCACCAGCACTAGTTTGTTGGTCCTTGACCTATAAAATGAAAATAACAATTCCAGTCCTGTCATGTGAGAGAGAAAGAGAGGGAGAGAGAGAGAGAGAGAGAGAGAGAGAGAGAGAGAGAGAGAGAGAGAGAGAGAGAGAGAGAGAGAGTGCACTGAGAGGGGGAGAGGGAAGCATCATTGATCACATTCATGGGAAGGGACTACTTTGCAAATTTCTCCTGTATTGGGGCATTTATTTCAGGGACTCTTACTACTGTGTCTCACCTCCAGCCCTCTACTTCATAAAGCACAAATGGTAATAATTCCTCTATGATGATAATTATTATTAGAGATATTATAAGACATTGGAACTTGTGATCTGCAATACTTTGCTGGCAAATGATCACATGAGCTTTCCCAACAATGGCAAATCCCTACTGGCTTCCATGAGCAACCTGATTCAAAGTTCAGTCCTTTGATTTGAAATACAGAACTTTGGACTATTAAAACTACCTTTGAGTATCAAACTTCAGCTTTGATGTTTCATCTCTTGAAAGCACGTCACAGACACGTGCCATGATGTGGGTAATGAAAACTGATGGAAGTGCAGGATTCAAGTATAAAGGGAAATAAAATGGATGATACAGAATTAAGGGTGTAAAGTATGACACTTTGCACTACCTTAAAGAGATAAAATATTCTGAGATGGGTTTCCATCAAGAGTGCTAAGAGATAATGCTATCCATTTAAATAGATTTTAATTCATTCTAAATTAGAATTGAAATACACAGCACAGGATCTCACTGCATTAAAGAGTCATTGTTGGGCCAGACCAGGCTTCACGGCAGTTTGGAGTCTGCCTGGGAATGTGGCCCGGGACAAAGCTCTTCTGCTAGGAAATCTGGGAGAGCACATTTTATAGACATCTCTGAGGGCCAATTAAACTAACTGAATTCAATTAAAAATTGGCTTTCAACCAAGAGAATGTGAACTTAGCCTGGAGAATAAAGCCATGGATTAAAATATATATTTAAAAAATGAACCCCCTAGGCTTGGAGATGGGAAGTAGAGGACCGCACTGATACTGGCAGGCGCTATCTTGAATGAGATCATGTTATTGCTATAATAGCAAATCATTTTAATAAGCTAGGGCCCTCAGGAGTTAGTTCCAGGTCACTGCTTCTGAAGCTGAACTAAAGAACTGAACAAAAACCCAGGGAAATTCTTCCGTTAGAAATTACTCTTACACTGCTTCACTTAGTTGTCTCTTCTATCTGATTTACAGTTTATTCAATGGATGCAGGATATGCCTTAATTTCTCTATACAAGATTTTAACCCTTTTTTACACTACAGATTTGGTTCTGTTTCATATCATGAGATTTTTTTTGGGGGGGGGGAGAGTAGGTGTGTGAGAGTGTGTGCACACGTTGCTAGGAATTGAACCCAGAGCTGTGACCATTCTAAGCAATTAGTCAGTGAACTAAACCCTGAGTTGTAATGAAAATTGTTATCTTTCTGCTTCTTTAAAAAACATCTCTCTCTCTATACACACACACACACACACACACACACACACACACACACACACACACACACATGTATACAAGAAATTACCTCTATTCTATCACATGCATTCACAGAGTATACATTTCTCTTTATGGAATCTAGCTGCAAAGGAACAGTCTGGATATCTAGAACCCAAAGATGTAGTGGGAGTGTATCTCTCTTAGATTGGTTTCTAGTGTGATTTATGAATGAGCTATCTGGATTATTTGTTCTTTAAAACTATTATACATCATGAGAATTTGTCATGATCAATGGCCAGATCCTGGACATACACACTGTGTGTAGTACAATGTTATCGCAAGATGATTAGCTTTTGAGGACTGAGATTTCTGCCACATGTTCTGGATGACGGTCAGCTGTAGTTTAAATCTGAGGAAATGGAGCTTCTCTGGTGGACGGCAGGTAGTTGCCAAATTCAATACCCTGCCACCTTGTGACAATTGTACTCATGTCAGCCAGAGTCTAATGAAGAAATGAAGAAATTGAGGTTCAGAAAACAATATGAAAGTCAAATCAGTGATAGTACTACAAACTAAAGCCCGTGTTCTGACCCCACATCTGGCCCTTGCTCAGGATATCAGGCCGGATCTAGAGAGCAAGCCCAACCAGTGTGATACCAGTTTTTCAAGGGAAAAGCTGCTAGGTGATCATTAATAATTGAATCATTTTATTAAATTATACCAGGCACTAGAACAGTTATCACAGGATAATACTTAAAAACAGATTTGGAATTTCCTAATGGTGTGACTTGAAGACAAAGGCACAAAGAACAGAGGGGAAGACACATCTAATTTTTATCACTGTTGCTGGTGAGGAGAAGCCACCTCCCTGGGACACAGGACCCAGGGGCTGTAGAAGGGGGTCTGTCCAGTGTCTAAGGAGTTTGATGGCTGGCGGTGCTCTCACTTACAAATGTGACTTGGAAATTTTAGAGCATTCTTATTGAGACAGCCAGAGGCAATGATGACTGCAGAACTACAGCTTGCCTCCTGTCCATCTATCTGCCTACCCAATAGATCTGATGCCAACAAGAGTCCAATGAGGTGACTTAACAGGACCTAACTTAGTGGTTCAGTACGAGAATGATCAGACATGGTTTGTTCATCAACAGACTTTAATTATAAAATTTCTTTTATCCAGCAGGTGCATCTCTCCTGAGTTTATAACTGAGTGGGTAGAGAAGATGGGAATGAATTGTTTACATTGTAACAGAGAGAGTCAATTTGGGTATCAACAGCATCTAAGAGATGCTCAGGAATTCAGTGAGAACTTAGCTTGTTAAACCCCTTCCTTTCCACATTCCAGTGGATTTGAGAAGCACTGGGGAGCAGGAGTGGTCAGTGGGGCTTTTGTTGCTGTGCTACCGACCTGGAGTGGTGACCAGAAGTGGCCTCCAGGGTATTCACAGAACAGGGAGTAAATTTTCAATGGAAAACCCCTGCGTACTGACACGAGAATCAAGCCTGTGCGGTGTAGGGGTGTTTCTGTCCTCAAAAATGTGAGAATTTGCTATCCTCAACAAAAAACACCCTATCCAAAAGTTGACCTGAGCTAATTCTCCTTTTTACATTGCAGTAACTGACAGATTTTTTCAATTTTCGGAAACATAAGCACTGGTTGCTGGGTTAGCTTACCTCTCACACCTTGTGTGACTGCTTTCAAAGAATGTAACAATTTAGAAATAGACAACAGGGACCTGCAAACACCATCGGACAGCTTTTTAAAACTTCAATACCGGATAGCAACTAGAGTGTACTCTTAAATGTTAATCCCTGCAAACTAAATTTCCAAGGATTGCTATGGCCTGCTTCAAATGGTAAGCACATGATAGAAATTTAATTTTCCAATTACTTGAGCCTTATTATGAGACACTCAGTTACACCACCAAAGTCACACTCCCTGAGAAATTTCTCTGACGCCTGTGACTGGTTAAATATGCTGGAAGCATTCACTTCAGGGAAAGCCTGGCATTCACAGACTTCTTCAACAAACTTTCTTACGAATCATCATTAGCATAGATTAATATAATGAGGAGATTTGTTGTGATAATTCTGTGGCTGTGCACAGCATGACTTGAACAAACAAACCCACCCCCATATTACATCCCTTAGCACATACACTCCATTCCCCTTTTCACGAAACAATTTGTTGGATTTCACTATATATAATGTAGATATACATATATAGTACATATATACACACATGTATACATATATGTATACATGATAATTATTACTCACATATTAATTACTCACATATATTTCTATAATAGATAATATTGTTTTATATATTTACATATTTTATGTGTAAAGATATTCATTTATACATTCCTTTACCAGTACTCAACAACAAACTTTCTATTTGTGTAAATTTTAAAATATATGAATTGTCACATTCAACAAATGTTTTGTCTCCATTCTTAGGCATTCTCTCGGAATAAAGATGATCACCATTTAGCTGGGCTCTGGTGGCTCACACCTCTTATCCTAGATGCTCAGGAGGCTGTGATCTGAGGATCAAAGGTTTGAAGCCACCCCAGCCAGGAAAGCCCATGAGACTCATATTTCCACCTAATCACTAAAAAGCTGGAGGTAGATGGTGGCTCAAGTGGGAGAGCACCAGCAAAATGCTGATCCCTCTCAGCCTGGACAATAACCCACTCAAAATGGATTCAAGATCTTACGGTGAGGCTTGATCCGTTGACACTACTACAAGAGAATATGGGGGAAATAACTCCGAGTGTAAGCACAGGCAACCACTTCCTGAAAAGGACTCTTGCAAGAACTGGCAAACATGATTTTGCACTGGATTTGAAAGCTTTTGCACATCAAAAGCTGACAAAACCCACAGTGAAGATACAGCCTCCAGAATGCAACAAAATCTTTGTGAGGAGGTCATCAAAGAAGACATTCATATCCAGGGTTTACACAGATCACGGTAATCACACCCTAGCAGCAATGAATCATCTGATAGATAGATACATGAGCAAATGAACTGCGCAGTTCTCAAAAGAACACACAGCTAATAAATGTGTGACAGGTTCGATACCTGGAGCTATCAAGGCAATTCAAGTCAAAATGATACCCAAAGTTCACCTCACCATCCTCAATCTATTGGTTGTCCATGAACCCGACAACCAATGCTGCCTGGAAGGAAGAGAACTTTCCACAGGGCGGGGGTAAGAATAACAGTCCCTCTAGTACCGAGGGCAAAACCGAAAATGAGAACTGCTGCAGGGGGCTGTGGCTCCCGTCGGTCACCCCAGCTGCTCAGGAGGCTGAGATCTGAGGACCGCAGTCCAAAAAACCAGCCTTGGCAAGGAAAGAACATGAGATTCTGATCTTCAATGAACCACCAGAAAACCGGAAGTGGCGCTGTGGCTCAAGTGGTGCAGCACCTGCCTTGGGTGAGGAATCCATCTCATCTCCCCAGCCCTGAGTTCAAGACCCATCACTGCCAATAAACAAACAGATAAACAAACAAATAAATAATGCACCCCGGGAAATCGCCCTCTGGGAGAGCCAGGCTGCGTGGGTCTTGAGTCTGGAGGGGCCGCGCAGGCCAGGGTGCCTGGGACATGCCCGAGGCAGCCCGGTAGACACAGTGGACGCGGTGGGCGCAGTGAATGCGGTGGGCGCGGTGGACGTGGTGGGCGTGGACCCGGGCTTGGTCAGCGCGCTGACCCCCCAGCCACGGGCGCACATCTGCTCCTGTTCCCGGCAGATGGTCTCCCCAGGTGAACCACTGCACAGGGCTTTCCGTTTCTCGTGCATTTTGCAAGTCAGGATTTCACACGTGGCCTGGGTGGGAGGTTGTAGGCCAGCAATTCCTACGGCGTGTCCGCGGCCTGGAGACGTCTTCCCAGGGTCCTGCCCACCCCCCCCCCCCCCCCCGCGCGTGGACCTGGCCAACTCCCACCCCCATGCGCATGGTCCTGGCCACCCCGCCGCCTGTGGGCTTACCCCCCACATCCTCGCCCCCCCAGTGGGCCTGCCCCCCTCGGTCCTGGCCCCTGCCCCGCGCTTTGGCATGACCCCGCGGTCCTAGCCCCCCCCCTTCCGTGTGGGCCTGCCCCTGTGGCTCTCCTCCAGTCCCGCGCAACCATGGCCCACGCGCGCCCTCACTGTGGCGCCTGGCTGGGACATGCATGGCACGGGTTAGATGAGGCCGCATCTCTGGAGAACTTGCGGTACTCAAGTCTTAGGCTCCCTTTCGGGAACTGGAGGCTGCCGACAACCGCACCGCGGGTGGACGCCACGCATGACCATGCCGCGGGTGGGTGCCCCGCGGGATCGGTGCAGGGAGAGGCCAGTGAGCGGGGAGGCTGGGCCACGGCCCGGCTCCCTCCCCCCCCCCCCCCGCCCCCCAACCCCGACCTCAGGCAGAAGAAGAGCAAGGGAAGCGAGCCCGGAATTCCCACGTGAGAAGGGAAAGCCTCGAACCCAGGGCCCAGGACCGTGGCGGGCAATGCAAAGCTGAGCAGGCCAGTCCGAGCCTGGGACAGGAACAGGTCCCGCTCAAGACTGAGGAGTAACAGCCCAGGTGGAGACCAGCGGCCTGGGTGAAGCCAGATGCAGGGTGGGCAGGGCAGTCCGGGCAGGTGGAGGGGGGAAGCGGGGAGGGCAGGCCTCTCCCACTGCTCGCCCAGCCAACCCCACCACCTTCCTCTAGCCCTTTCCTGGGATGCCCAAGTTGAAAATGTCCAGTTCCGTTTTTATGGGGAGACTGGATGGACTCGAATCCTCATGCCAAGCAGTTCCATGTCCACCACAGTAACAATCACAGGAGGAGGAACAGGTGCAGGGGAAAGACAAGAGAGTTGGTACAGGTTTCCACAAGTGTGCCAATGTTCCGCGTAAGGAACTACACACGATAATGAAACTTCGCGATAGTGTTCATTATTTTATTTTTAAAAAGAACATAGAAAAGCATTTTTCAAAGACAGTAAATAAGTTTCATTTCTCTGCTATCATACTAATTCTCTTTAATTATGAAATTAATAGTCCCTTAAGTCTTTATTTTTTGTATCAGGTGGAGATTCTGAACATTGAAAACCTACAGAGCATTGAACAAGGAATAATCTGCAAACCAATGTGAAAAACTGCATGTTACAAAACTTGGAAAGTCTGGGAAGGGATGTGAAGGGTAAACAAAGGAGGAGGCTGCAATGCTTGGTAAGAAATGTATGCATTATCCTGCCCATGTAATTGTAACCCCTCTGTACAGTATGTTCACAAATAAAATAAAATTAAAAAAAAAAACTTGGAAAGTTGAGAATAGACTGATACCAGGAAAAGTATGAGAAAAAGGGCATGGGCTGAAGGTAGGAAAGTCACTTCCTAAAATTCACTGCACATGTAGAAACACGTTCTTATTCTTTGAATGGGAAAATTGTGCTAATGATACTTAATGTTAAGCCATCATCCCGGAGAATGGGGTTATCCCCAAATGGAAAAGCCTACACTAAATTTATAAAAATGAGGTTTAAAAATGATCTAAATTAGCCGGGTGCTGGTGGCTACTCTGGAGGCTGAGATCTGATGATTCCAGTTCAAAGAATCAGTGAGACTCTTATCTCTACTTAACTACAAAAAATTAAAAACAAAAAGAAAAGGCCAGCCTAGATTTGTGGCTCAAGTAGGAGAGCACCAGCCACGAACACAAAAAAGGCTCAGGGACAGTGCCCAGGCCCTGAATTCGGGCCTCAGGTCCTGCACGAAGGGGGGAAAACAAAAACAAAAACAAAATAAAAACAAATTGCACTTAAATGTTCTCATCCTCCTCTGAATAAATAATAGGAGAGATGATAAACAGGAAGGATCTGGGCCAATTTAAAATGTAATCACTTGAACTTAGTCTAGGCTTTCACCTTTTAACGCTTCTTTACAGTCCTTTTGATGGTTGGCCAGGAAACATGAATAGCAATTCATTTACATACCGGGTGCTGGCGGCTCACACCTGTAGTCCCAGCTACTCAGGACAGTGAGATAGAAGGTTTGAGGTTTGGAGTTAGCCCAGGCAGAAAATATCTGCGTGGACATCGATGAGGAAATATGACATCCGTACCCTCCCCGCGTGTCACGGGTGCTGGTGTTGGTGTGCACTGGGGCGCTCGTGGCCGCCGGTGGAACGCGTCTGTGTGCGCGCCAGGACATGACACCCAGCACTAGGCGGTTCCTCCTTGGATCTCCCTCGGATTCCCGAGAGCAGCTTTTCCTCAGCCATCCTTCTTGTGCGCTTGGCTTTGACCACCCGACGCCGGACGGAGGAGGCCGGGGGGCCCTAGGGGCACCTGGCCCCGCGTGTGGGGCGCGCTTTAGCCAGCCGCCCGCCAGCCAGGGAGGACTGGCTGGCATCAGCGTGGACTTTTATCGGGACCCAGCCCTGGTTTCCTCTTGAACCAGTGGCCCTGGGAAGCAGCCTTCCTCTTAGGACGCAGCTTTTAAAATGGAGCTGGGCTGTTCGCCTTGTCCCCAGGCCTCAGAGTGGCTGAGAGACCATCACCATCACCAGGGTCGAAGCCACGACCCGTCCGGGCTTCCCCTCCCGCGCCCACGCCACGCACACCGTGTGCTTCGCGTTTCTGTCACGCACCTGCCCGTCCTCCACGCGCGGGAGGGAAGCGCAGCCCCAGCCGGCTGGAATCCGCTCGCACCCCGACTCTGAAAGTTGCCACCCGTGGAAATCGCTCCCCTCGATCGCCAGGGGCTCGGGGGTTAGGAAGACGCGTGCGGGGCATGGTGTGTTGGTTTCCCTTGGACGCAGAGTCCAAGTGTTCCCGTCACTTCCCCTCACGCGAAGAGCGAGGATGGGCAGAAACCACGCAAAACAAATGCAGGACGCAAACCAGACGCCAGAGCCGCGGCTGGTCTGGGCTCCAGGGCGCCCCAACCCCGGCCCGGCGCCTCGTCCATGGGCCGCTGTGCAGAACCCTCCCCGGCTCCCTGGTTCCCCACGCGCGGCAGCCTCCCGAGTCCTCCCCGGCTCCCCACGCGAGGCCCCATCGCTAAATCCACGTCACCGGCCGCCCCAGCGACTCAGCCCCAGCGGATGCGTCAGGCCTTCCCGCCCGCCCCGCACAGTCCCCGGCCCGCACCTGCGGGACACCGACCCCCCCCCCCCCCGCCCTGCCTGCACCTCGCCCCTCTCGGAACCTGGAAGGGGCGGACAGGACACAGACAAAACAGAGCTCGCGAGCTCAGCCCTGCGGCGAGACCCGGGGCCGCGGGACGAGCGATTCCGACCCAGCCCGCGCCGGGACGCGCGGGTCCCCACGAAGCCCGCACCGAGCGGCGCGCGTGCGATGTGAATCGCCGCCAGGCGCACGGTCTGGGGACGGTCTCCGCACACCCCGTCCCTATCCCGGGCGGAGAGGCCAGCGGCGGGGCGGGGCGGGGCGGGGCGGGGGGGGGGGCTGAACCCAGGTGAGGACCGAGCTCTGCTCCCCGAGCCGCGATCCGGACCCAGAGACCCGCGAGCTGGAGAGAGTGGACCAAGCGGGGTGCGCGGTCGCGCGGCTCCAAGGAGACCCCGCCTCTCGGTACCCCTCCTGCCTTCCCCTCCTCTGTCCTCTCCAGCCCCTCCATCCTCCCTCCAGCCCTCCTCCAGTCCTCCTCCATTCTCCTCCCCATCCCTCCTTGCGTTCCTCCTCCATCCTTCCTTCCTGTCCCTCCTCCCTCCCTCCTCCAGTCCTCCAGCCCTCCCTCTTCCCCCCTCCCCGTCCTCCCTCCCTCTTTCCTCTCTCCCTCCATCCCTCCTCCAGTCCTCCATCCCTCCCTCCTCCCTCTCTCCCTCCATCCCTCCTCCAGACCTCCTCCATCCCCCCCCCCCATCTCTCCTCCAGCCCTCTCTCCCTCCAACCCTCTGTCCATCCCTACCTCCTCCAACCCTCCTCCGCCCCGCCCCGCGCCGGTACCCAGGGCCGGCCCAGAGCGCGCGGGCACGCGGGAGGCCGGCGGGAGCGCGCGCCAGGACTGCGCATCCTCCGGGTACCGCGCGCGCCCGGCGGAGCGGGGACTCTCGGCTCCGAGCCGCAGCCTCGCTAGCTCCGAGCCGCTCTCGGCGCCCGCAGCCCGGGGCTTTCTCTCCTTTTCCTCGGTCGCCACCGTCCGCCGGCACCTGCGGGCGGGGAGGAGGGGGAGGAGGAAGAGGAGAAAGAGGAGGAGGAGGAGGCGGCGGCGCGGCGGCGGGCAGAGGCGGGCAGAGGCGGCGGCGGGCAGAGCCGGCGGCGGCGGAGGCAGCGGGCAGAGGCGGCGGCGGCGGAGGCAGCGGGCAGAGGCGGCGGCGGGCAGAGGCGGAGGCCAGGCCCCGGCGTCCTCGTACCTGCCCGGCGTCCCCGCGCCGCCCGCCCGCGCCGCCCGCGCCCCGGCCGGCTTCGGGGCGGCCCCCGGCGACCCGCGCCGCCCGCGCCGTCCGCACACCTCGCCGCCCCCGGCGCGCGCCCCGCTTTCCGAGCGGCGGGGAGGATGGGCCGGGGCGCCCGGGTCCCAGGCGGCGTGGCGCCGGCGTCGTAGAGCGGAGCCCGGAGCTTTCGGAGTGCGAGGTGAGGCGGGGCGCGGGGCGCGGGGCGCGGGGCCGGGCGCGAACCCCGCTCCCCGCGGAGGCAAAGTTGGGAAGTGCGGCCTGGGGAGCGGTCCGGCGGAGGGGCGCGGGGCGCGGGCCCGCACCGCACACCTGGCTTCGTCGGCGGCGGCGGCGGCCCGGGTTCCACGCGGGTCGGGGCTCCGGGCCGGGGTGAAGGGAAGCCCCGCGCGGGCTCCGCAGGCCGTGTCCGCCGGGATCCGGGCCGGGCCGGGTGGAGGGCAGCGCAGCCCCGCGCCCCGCGCCCCGCGCCCTGGGTTCCGGAGTGTCTCCCCAGTGCCGAGCTCGGCGGGCTCTGGGCAGAGCCGGGGCCCCGCCGCCCCTGCGGCCCCGCGTGGAGTCCCCGGCGGCCACGGGCTCTTCGCGGCCGGGCTCCTAATGGAGACCCGGTTGTCCGCGGGGCGCGGGGCGCCGGGCGCAGGCCTGCACCCGCCCGGGGCGCGCGCCTCCGACCTGCAGTGCCTGCAAACTGCCTGAGCAACAGCCAGGAGGAACATTCCAGAATTCCCCACAACTTCCCCGGCTTTGAGCCTGAATAGGCTCATGGATTTGGTTTTCTCAAGTAGAAAAAGGCGTTGCTCACTGAGCCTGTGTGTGTGTGTCTGTGTCTCCTGTGTGTGTCATGTGTGTGTCTGTGTGCAACCTAGGGCACGGTTCCTGTAGACTTAGTGATTCTGGTGACATGTGTGTATGTGCGTGCTTGTGTTAATTCTTAAACCGCGGCTCGATGGAGACTTGAGGCCGGCTTGCTCAGATGAAGACAGGGACTGTGAGTTCGAGCCCGCGGGGAGCCGGCGGCCTTGGCCCTCGGCGCGGACGTGCGCGCCCGGCCAGCGTTATGCAATATGGGGGGGGGGGGCGGGAACGCTTCGCAGCCCATGTCCCTCTGTCTGTCTGTTTTCAGGACAGGAAACGGCTGGGCAGCCTAGACACCTCTAAAATTAACTTGGTACCACTTTATCAGCCCAGAGGCTGGGGGTGGGGGGGGAGACAGAGAGAGAGAGAGAGAGAGAGAGAGAGAGAGAGAGAGAGCAGTGTCATTTATTCAAAGAAATAACTTCTTAAAGGTTAAAACTAAAAAACAGCCCAGTCATATGGGTGTATATATGACATATGTATGATATATGTGTGATTTATGTATGATCTATATGATCTATATATGATCTATATGATAACGGCTTCCAGAAGAAGAGACCATCGAGGACTTTGTTTTTTTAATCAGACAAGCCGTGAAGGAAGCGGGGCGCAGCCGCGATCTCGGGGAGCAGTTCACACACTGAAATCCACCCGCACATGTTTTCCAGAGGCCATCCCTGCAGATTAGACAGACAGACAGACAGACAGACAGACAGACAGACAGACAGACCAACCCACCTACCACAGCGGGAAACTTGGAAGCCTGGCACCAGCCGGGGACTGCAGTTTAGGGCTCGCTCTGGCATGGCCTTGGGGCGCAGACCGGATACAGCCGGCCGGGAGAGGCCTTGGGGTCCCGCCGGGGACCCACTACCCAGGGCGTCCGCCCTCTCCCCGGCAGGGGTGGGGGCACCCGATTTCTCCTGGGTCTTGGCCTAGGACCCCGTGGAGCAGGAGGAGGGTGCGGGGGGGGGGGGCCGGAGGGCGCATGGGAGAGGGCGCATGGGGAGGGCGCTGAGGGCGGGTGCGGGGGAGGGCGCAGAGGGGTGCAGAGGGGAGGACGCATGGGGAAGGGCGCATGGGGGGGCGCCCAGGGAGGGATCCCTGGCCCTCCTCTAACGGGGGAGGGGGCCGTACTTCCTGGCGATGACTCCCCACGGTCAAGAGGAGAAGTCACGGGGCGCCAGCAGCTCCCAGCTGATCGGATTAGTGCCGGGCGGCGGCGTTGGTTTGGAGCTGGAGCCCGGAGAGCGGGGGTCAGCTGCTCGATTGACCGGAGGTGGAGGAGAATCCGCAGCCAGTGTTCGGGTCGTGCTCATTCTGCAGGTCCCGTTTGGCCCCCTCCCCTCCGCACCCCGCGTTCTAGGACGATAGCGGGGAGACAAGGAGGTCGTGGAGGATGCGTGCGGGCATGCCTATTAATCCTCTATTAAATGTTCTTTTTAAACTCGAAGGTGGCCGCCGCCGGTGGCCACGAGAGGGCGCTGTTCGCGTGGCCACCGCGGGGCCCCGGCTGCGGACCGAGCACAGCACCTGGCCTTCATCTAAGGTTTTCCTCCTCTTTTCCTTTTCCTTTTCCTTTTTTCTTTTTTAAACTGGAATCTGGAACGCAGCTTGCTGCAATCGTGAGAGGATTCTATGTTTCCAATGCCTTTCGCTCTTGTCGCACTTTCTGCAGGCCAGATGTCATAGGATGAAGGCTGTGGGTGAGCTGCTGATTTCTATATTTTCCACCTATCTCCTGGTTATGTTTGGATTTAACGCTGCCCAAGACTTCTGGTGTTCAACTTTGGTGAAAGGAGTCATTTATGGATCCTATTCTGTAAGCGAGATGTTCCCCAAGAACTTTACCAACTGCACTTGGACGCTGGAAAATCCAGACCCAACCAAATACAGTATTTACCTGAAATTTTCCAAGAAGGACCTGAGCTGCTCCAACTTCTCTCTGCTGGCTTACCAGTTCGATCATTTCTCCCATGAAAAGATAAAGGATCTGTTAAGAAAGAACCATTCTATCATGCAGCTCTGTGATTCCAAGAATGCTTTTGTGTTTGTACAGTATGATAAAAATTTTATTCAGATTCGCCGGGTCTTCCCAGCCGAGTTCCCGGGCTCGCAGAGAAAAGGAGACGAGGATCAGAAATCTTTCTTTGAGTTTCTGGTGTTGAACAAGGTGAGCCCCAGCCAGTTCGGGTGCCAGGTCTTGTGCACCTGGCTGGAAAGCTGCCTGAAGTCCGAAAATGGCCGAGCTGAGTCCTGTGGGGCCATGTATACCAAGTGCTCCTGCCCCCAGCACCTGGGGGAGCTGGGCGGGGATGACCAGGCCTCGGTGGTGCTGCTGAGCAACGTGGTGCTGCCCCTGAATGAGCAGACAGAGGGCTGCCTGACCCAGGAGCTGCAGACCACCCAGATGTGCAACCTGACCCGCGAGGCCCGGAGGCCCCCCAAGGAAGGTGCGTTAGGGGAAGGGGTATGGTCTGTGGTGCAGGTCGGGGTGGGGTCTGTGGCCTGACCGTGTGCTTCTCTGCTTAGCACTGAGTGCTGATTTGTCATCTTTCCTCATGAAGGTCTCCCCAGCTAGCTTCTAGACCCAGGGCCTGGGGGACAGTGTATCCCTGGAGTGGGGGTGGGGTACAAGGAGGAGATGCTAGACCAGCTTGTCCTGGAGGAAGGGCTGTGGGGGAGGGAAGTGGAGAGGGCTAATGCCTTCATTCAGAGGGCAGAATTCTCGAGGAAGCTACACACAGGTCCTGTTTGGTGAAGTAGACTTCTTCCTTCTGAAACATCCAACCTTGGGTCCCCTCCCTCCTTCTCTCCCCCTTTCCCTCCCTTCCTTCCTCCCTCCATCTCTCACTCCAGCCCTGCCTTTGGACACTATGACCAAGACCTCACAATAGCAAGCCAGAGAGTAGACACCCCCAAACTGGGTTGGCCCATTTTTGATGGACAGTAAATTCTGGGTGCAGAGGAACAGGCTGGCAGCCAAGCCCTCAAGCTCTGCTGGCTGACTTAGCCAAGTCAGGGAGCAGGCAGGGGAGCAGGGAGCAAAAGTAAACTCTTGATCTTTCTTCCCTGTTATGTCTCTTGCAATTGCTGGGCTATTTGGGGGGCAGAGGAGGTTGTTTTTACTGTTGTCTTGGTCTCCTATTCATATGCATGGAAAAGGGAAGGAGGGAACATCCCAGAGGTGAGGTAGGTAGGAAAACACCTCAGAAACCAGTGCCAGGGACATGCAGGGGAAGCCTGAAAGTACCTTGATTTGCACCCAGTCTGCAGTGAGGAGCCTGGGGAGACCTGAAGTCCAGGATGGCTTTGAATTATGCAAGGAAGCAGCAAAGGCATATTGGGAGGAAATGCCTTCCCCTCGGAGGCCGGGACTCACTCCAGCCTCCAGGACGGAGCTCATGCATATTCTTGCCTGGGCTGCAGCCCTGTACTCAGAGTGTGTTGATTTCTTATGCAGGAAATGTTTTCTGATGGCCACAAAGAGCTCAGTCTGTGGACAGGGACAGCCAAGCTCCAGCCCCTCCTCCCCTCCCCCCACACAAGTAGGCTTTGTGGCCCATGTCAAATTGTCCCTTGTTGGAGGGTTTTCATTGAGAGTAGCCAAGGGTCTGGAAGGGAGGGGTGGAGGGCTGAGCCTCAGTAGCCGGAGCTGTTTCTCCCTGGCTGACTGGAAATGGGGGATGGGAATTCAAAGGCGTTGGAGGGGGGAGGGGTCAGGGGATGGCAGAAAGGGAGAGGTCCTGCTAGGAAATAAATGCACACCAATGGCTCTGTGTGTGTGTGTGTGTGTGTGTGTGTGTGTGAGAGAGAGAGAGAATACCTTCAAACATCTCCACAGATCAGTTAGCTAGCGGCTGAGACTGAAGACAAACAAAGTAGTTTTAAATTACAGGAGTTCTTTCTCCAGTGAAAATCCCAGAGCCACACTTTGTGACTGCGGGAGGGTGTTTAACACCATTTAAAACTAATTAGTGTCCCTGGAATTCGAAGCTTCAGCGGCTCAGAGAGAACTGGAGACCACACAGGGTCGGCCCATAGAGTAGTGCTCGCTCATGCACACTAGGTTGGTGTGTGTGTGTGTGTGTGTGTGTGCGCATGCATGTGCTTGTTTCATGGTCATTTTGTTACAACTTAGACATCGGTGTTTTCCACAGTTTTAATTCGGGCATTAAATGGGCTCCAGTCCCAGTGTCCATCCGCCAGGCGGGGGTGGGGCAGCAGCTTGACTGCAGAGGTTTTGTGGTCATTGCCAGGGGTGGACAGAAAGGTGTTAGAGCAGGCAATCACGTGGTCTGCACATCAGGAGTGACTGTTACACCTCAGGTGTGTAAGTGGTGTCAGAATATGGCAGGAGTGCCTGTGTAGACAATTACACAAGGGTGCTGGCTTTATGGTGATGTTGCTGGGCCTGGGCAGGATGTGCGTGTCAGAGGGAGGGAGACCCCGTCAGGGGCATGCAGCCTCTGCCCTCTGCATCCCGAAATCCAGGCCCCAAAGATGGGGACCTATGGATCCTGGTGACAATGCTGTCCCAGTGCTCTGGCTGGCTGTTCTTATACAATCTGCCTCCTTCACCTCATCCCAGCCGAGCCTTGCCGGTGAGGGGCAGTGCAGAAAGGCTGTTTAAAGGCAACATAAAAATCCTGACTCCTGCGCTACTCACACTTATTCATGCAAAGTACGTGAGATCTTAAGTATGTGATATCACAGATATACGCGATGGTAGGAAAGGCTTCTCTAAGAGCCCTTCGAGGCTCTGAATGCCGTGAGTCCAGCTGTTTGGACTAGGCCTGCTACTCCAGGCAGCTCCCTTTCCTGTGAAAGCTCGGAACTCTGGCTCTTGAAACGAGGTAGTGCATGACATGATGGCTCACCTCTGTGCACGCGTGTTCACACTGGCCTCTAAGTCACCAATGGGATCAGTGGGAGATGATTCTGTGGTGCTCAGGTTCCCTGGCTCAGGAGGAAGGCTGGCCTGGGGTGGCCAGCTTCTTTTCCTCATTCCACCCGGAAAGCTGCAGGGCGGGGCTGGGGAGCAGTCCCAGGGCTGCAGATGCCAGAGGTCCCTCTCACAACCTCAGCCAGCTGCGGGTGGCCAAGGCCTCTAGATGACAGGATGAGACTCAGCAAGGATGGAGGAAACACAATAGAGAAAGGATTTGTACTAGAACATTCCTCTTGATTCATCCAGGGCCTCAGGACAGATGGAAAAAAAAACCAAAAACATTTGCTGTTTTTAATGTGACACACAGTAAAGCATTGTACTGATGCCTCATTAAAATATGAAATATTAGTGCATCCAAGGATTGTCTTATTTATCAGTCTCTGGCATATTTAGGGTTGACGTGTGTTATTATATGCCAGGATCTTATGTGAATTTGCTGAGTGACAAGGAGATTGAAACACACACAGACACAGACACATAAGACTTTGCAAGAATAGTGATGTCGTTCTGGGAGTTTTTATTTCTAGAACCTGTGTGCATATAATGGATAACCTGGGTTTTGTGTGTGTGTGTGTGTGTGTGTGTGTGTGTGTGTGTATTGTGGGGGGCAGGGACGGTCGTGGGGCTTGAACTCTGGGCCTGGGTGCTGTTTCTCAGCTCTTCTAGCTCAAGGCTAGCACTCTACCACTAACGCCACTTCCAGTTTTCTGGTGCTGGAGATAGTTTCTTGGACTTTCCTGCCCAGGCTGGCTTTGAACTGAGATCCGCAGATCTCAGCCTCCTGAGTATTGAGGATTGCAGGCATGGGCTAGCGGTAACTGGCAGATACTCTATGTTTTGAAAGAAGCCCCAAGGACAGTATTGTGGTGGGGGGGGGGGTGAAGAGAGGGGGTTATAAGCGGAGTTCTGAGCCTGGAGAAAGACCGGACACCATTTGCAAAGAAAGCCATGTTTAGTTTCTCTGAAGACTTCACTGTCCTTTAAGGGTCTCATTTGTTGAAGATTATTCTGGACTATGAAGGTATAAAACCTGAGTGCTGGTGCTTCATGTCTGTCATCCATGCTACTTAGCAGCCTGAGATCTGAGGATCCCGGTTCAAAACCAGCCCTGACAGGAAAGTCCATGTGTCTTTTATCTCTAGGCAACCACCAAAAGTCTGGAAGTGATGGTGTGACTCAAGTAGTAGAATGCCAGCCTTGAGTGAAAAGCTAAAGGAGAGCACAGCAGCAATAAGGCCGTGAAAAGGGAAATATATTTAATATAATATATAATGTGTAATACGTGTATAATATAATGTACATAGGTGTGATATAATTGTTATTTTACTACTTCATTTAAAATGAGAAATTAAAACATGTTTAACTTAATAGAAAGCCTTGATGGGTTCTTGTTTCTAATGGCTCCCCTTAGTGAAAGGAAGTTGGGGTCCCTGCGGAGGCAGTGGAAGATCTGAAGGCCGCAGTTGTCTTCTCTCTGCCTCTCATCCTGGGCCCTCCACCTGTGCCCCCAGGGAAACTGTGTGCCCAGGTAAACTTCAGCAGTGTCCTGGGGTGTTTGCATTTTGGGGGGGCCTATCAAAGTTCCTGAGGGATTGCCATGGCCAGTTGTTTAATTGTCCTCATTTATTTCTGATTGGCCCTGGTTGCTCTCAGGCTGGTTTTGATCTACCTGTCTTCATCCTCTTTTTACTGCTTTGATCTCTTCCTCTGAAGATGGCTGCCTCCATCCACACTCTTCATGAGAACATAGGGAGGTTCACGCCCTCTGAGCGTCCCCATAGTTCACCCCACTTTCAGGGGTCCCCACAGTGCTTTGCACACCGGGGTACCTGGGCTCCAGCCTTCATCTCCAGCAGGTGTGAAATTCCATCATACGCCCACCTCCCCCACCCAAGGTGGAGATCTCCAAGGGAAGGGCAGACTGAGCAGGGTTCCTGTGAATGTTAGTTGAAATGAGTGGTCAGCGATCACGTGACTTGGGCAAAACATCTTCCTGTCATTCCCTTCCCCGGGGAGCTGGACACCATTTACCCCCTGTCCGCTTCCATTCATGTGTGAGTGATGCCACTTTCTGGTCTCCAAGGGGTTGTTAAGACACATTGTTAAAACAACAAGCAAACAAAGAGTGAAATCATTGAGACTCGTTCTTTATTCCATGTATATTTATCTGACACGATCAGTGATAAATATGGCTTGCTATCCATGGCAACCTAGATGAATAGTGGAAATAGAGGAAACTCGCCAGTCCCTCCCTGTCTGAGTTCATGCTGTGTCTCTCTGTCTTCTAGTTTGGCGTAATACTGTCATTTCCCAAACCCTCCTGTCCACAAATGGCCATGCAACCTCATGGGAAGAAAGAAAAGAGTACTTGGAAGACAGTTTTAGGGCTTCTGTTTGTAACTCTTGATGAAGAACTCTTAACTCCATTAACAGGAGGCTGTTACTAAAATTATAGGCCAGGTCAAGCCAAATGCCTTGACCGCATTGTGTCAGATAACTTAG